TTGCATGAAACAAGAACGTGACTGTGAGGGGAAGAAGATCAAAGAAGACTGTCAGTTTGCGAAAACCGCTGACCACATCGGATGGGAGGAGTCTGATATGACGACCGGACACAGTAGTACACAGTTCTAGGTGATTGCAGTAATCTCTTCTAGAGTAGCAAGCTTGTATAGGCCCGTTGGATTGTTTTTAAAAGACACCAGGCACTCTTGATTGTCTTGGGTGTGGGTTTAACTTCTGGGGAGATTGTTAATGCCCCACAAGTTCATGCAGTTACATGCGGTGGAAATGTTTGTGATAACCGACAAAGAGTACTGGATAGCTGTTTCTTCCTGTTTGGGACTCTACAGCAGTTCGGACAAAACAGCTGTCCAGTGCTCTTTGTCGGTTATCACAAACATTTCCATCGATCGCAATCACCGACTGAAGCAAGAACCTGATCTCCATAGGTTGCAATGCCGGGGAAAAATGTGATGCTCAGTACGCGATTGGCTTCCTAGGAAGTTGCAAGCTTTCTGGATGATTTTGAGTACTAGTGTAGCTGTGTTCGGTATGCGTTCGGCACCTTCAAAGTATAAAATGTTGCTACAGGACGGGATTGGTCCACCTCCCAACCTCATTCTAATTGGAGAAGTAATAGAGATGGAGAACAAATTTTGCCATCTGGGCAATTACATCTCACCTGGCGGACGCATCGCGGATGAAGTGTCGGCACGCATACAGAAAGCTCGGTTGGTATTTGGCAACTTGCGAGATTTTTGCTACCGTCCAGATATCCAGCTGTCTGTGATGAATCGAAAGTATGTTGTAACAGTTCGGCCAGTTCTGCAATACGATGCAGAGACTTGGCCATTTGGAAAACAGTGTAAAGGTAGTTTGTCGGTGTTTGAACACCGCTGTCTACGTCGCATTTGACGAGCGTGGTGGGCAAACCAGATAAATAACCCTGAGGTTAGCCGCAGAGTGCTAGGTAATCGCGGTCACTAACTGGATTAAGTGGTCAACCTCCAAAGACCGCTTTGGTTGGTACACGTGCTGAGCATGTCACCAAAACGTTTGCCACGGCTGTTTAATTAGACTGGTGTTAGGTGGAAAAAGTGAAGGGTGGTCAAACTCAGAGGTNACTCTCACACAAGCCTCGTTAGGCTTCCTGAATCGGGACCTCGGGACAATTGTAAGCCATGATTGGAGACACTGAGTGGTATGGCTAAGTGTCGCAAACAGTGGCACTCGTGCATGTACGCATTATTCCTGCAACGTTAACCTTTACGCATTCTCTGTTTTACCTCTGACACTGATTAACATATTTCAATCTTCCCTTTACTTTTTCATCCAAATGGGAAGTCATGAGACAGCAACCAATAGTGGCGCACGAAAATGCATGGTTAATAGTTGTCATAAGTGAAAACTGGTTGAATGGAAGGAGACCAGAAGTAGTTATACTAAGATATCACATGATAACATGAAACCCCCGGAGGAGGCACTTGGTCGTTTTCAGTTTTGGTGGTTGTGGACCTCGTAATCCAGCCAGTTAGTGGTGAGAGACCCCAGATAACACGCCTGATTACAAGCATCTGAGCATCTAATCATTTTCTTCACGCACCTACACCATTTCAAGTTTAATTTAAGAAAAAAATCTCTTTGAGTCGTAGATATCCAGGCAGATGTAATATAGTTATAGCTTGTCGTATACAGGGTGTCACCATTTGTGCATATCGATTTTGGGGGTTAGATTAGCTGTCTCGTACAAATCACTTGACCTCACCAACACACCAAACAGACGTCTGTCAGCTAGATCGACGAGATGCAAGACAGGGATCTGCTTCAGCTGAACACAGAAAGAGCTTGAGAAAACAGGTGATCAATCTGGGAGCAGAAAAAACGTGTGATAAATTGATCAGTGAGGTGGACTCAACGAAGCCGGATGAAACCACGGTGTTTTGTTTTCAATTCAAAGTGATAGTTATCCAGTTCAAGGCGGTAGTTGGACAAAGCAAACTTGTTAGTCTGGAACACTATCTCTTTAACGCAATCCACGTTTGTTTTCGTTTTTTATTGTTTTCCTTGTTCACAGTTCAGAATTGTGGTTAAATGATGGCAATCAAAACCAAGGCGTAGAACTTCATGGTTACTGGTGATACAAGGTGAAACTGAAACCCGGACTAAACCTGTTTCATGGCCTATAAAGGTCAACGTTGGATTCGTTTCTGGGTGTAAAATTTTTGCGAAATTTAACCAGGGGACAGAAAGCAAAATCTTCCAATTTCAAAATACTATCAAGATATCTCCCCACTAAACATTTTGCGGTACGCTTCCCACGTCAGACCGAGACTTGAGTATGATAACGCTAAAATACCCTGCCCGACCGGGGAACTGGCTAAGTTGGGGGCGTGTACGATTTGCTACCAGTAGAGTCGTCATTGAATCACGTGGGACCAGCTGTTTATGTCATACGCAGGCCACTGGTCTGTTCCCAGTTGCGTATCGGGGAAAATCTGATCTGACTGAGGAAGATCCTGAGGAGTGATATGGATCCGGAGTTGAAGTAGCATTTTCCACTACGGAGAAAGGAACGCACGCGGTGGTACTCTCCCATATTGCGTAAACTTCATTCGCTTGATCTAGCGTTAGTTTATCGGTTCTCACAGAGGTCAGAAACGCTCTGGAAGCCCCTTCCAGCGACTAGGGTGGAGAAGAGAATCGACTCTGCCTTCAAGCAGCGTCTAGATGAGCACCTCAACGGGGCTGTTGAGGAACGACCACATTTGATCAGACCTTCGACCCAGTGGTGACCTGGTTGTCTTGAATTTGAACCGCATAGCCACCGCTGCCCATCTTTCCTATTTCTGTATTTTCCCAGACTGCCTTTGATTAAAAACGGCCTCCTTCCTGATAATTGATTGCACATCTCGCTTGCTGGAAAAGTGAAGTAAACAATTTTTATTTGTTTATCCTCAGGTATCTCACTTTTACTTCGATCTAGCGGTGGCTTCTTGACCGGTATACTGCCCCCCCGGTGTTAATTTTTCTGGAGTGGCTGTTCCAGGAGCGAACTTGGAAAGAAAAGGGAAGCCAGGAAGTGTCCGATCAGATAGTCTTGTGAGACTGAGATTCATCTGACCTTTCGAGTATGATTGGATCTGCTACTGCGAGGAGACATCCTGTATAGCTCGCGGGTTCATGTAGGCGCGCAAGCCATCACACACCATGGCAAGGTGCAGGTTCGTCGTGATGGTCCATCGTCCCATTTAGATACAAAAGAATTTAAGCGAAAATTTTTAGCTTACTGGGAGAAGAGAATCTGTAGTCCTGAGAACCCGAGAATGACGAAAAAACATTCATTATTATTATTGTTATTACTACTATTATTATTATGATTATTAATGCTTTTTCCCAATCGAACGTAAAATACCTCGAAGGAAATAAGCTTTGATGTAATTTTTTTACGAAGTTACCTTCAGACAAGCGGAGTATCGGTGCTTATTACGATGATGACAATAATGACGATAATAATAATAATAATAATAATAATAATAATGATTGATCCGGTCACGAAGAAGCTAATAAGTTTATTTTTTGTCCGAATGAACCATCATTACGCATTGTAAGAAGAGCATACGGTAGCGAACAAGCTCGTTTGCAAAGATTGATCTACAGGCATCACAGATATCACAATTTTTGTCAAAAAGTTTAGTTGGGGGGGGGNGGGGGGGGGCAAGACATTTTAATGCAACACTACCGTTGAAAAGAAACCAGTTTACATATCACTATCTTTCAAGGGCAACACAACTGCCGAGATGGTGACATGTGAACTCAGGAGAGCTGTGTAAAAGGCATTTCTCTCAGTAAAAAAGTATTCGCATTGTATTCATCTCCAGACCACTTAGTCAATTCTCAACTCAAAGATAAATTGCCTCTTTCGGCAGTCTCATACCCGTGTGTACCTGTTTATCTGTGCCTGTGAGGCTAGCTACATTGGACATACAAGCAGACGTTGGTCCGAACAAGTCCGCGATCATCACCCGGTTTGGCTGAATAGTGGGTTGATTAGGCTATCAAAAGTTCTATCGTTTCACATCCGGTGGAGTCAAACCACGTGGCGGATGTGGCCGAGGCGTTCCAATTTATCTACTTTGTTCGCAGCCGTCGATCTAAGGGGCTTAGAAGTCGATTCTGGCCACAGCCGAAGCGATCAGAATCCGCCTACACATACACCTCCCAAACGATTTGTCAGAATACACGGTCTTCCATGGCCAACACCACACACGACACAGTCATCCCCCTAATGACTGAAACCAATACGCATGTGTGATGAGCACAGTATGAGAAATATCCGATCATGGAGCTGGAATGCTCGTTATTTTTCCCTTCCCATTTTGTCATGTTTATTTTTGTCAGGTCCTTAGCACCCTGTTGAATGTAGTACTGAGATAAGCAGGGTCTATGGCCCGCAAAATGCTTGCAATGATGTGTTGTGCTATATCATGTAAATGGAAAATGAAAAACGGTCTAATCAGCTGTCCGGTGACCAGGCGAGTTGCATACTTGCGTTCTGCCTGTTAGGTCCCGGGTTAGATCCCCGTGGGATCGATGGATTCACACTACTGATGAGACCTAACCGGGTCGAAACAGCTGTTCAGTGCTTCCTAGCTTTTTATTATTATTACACACCTAAGTGTGAGGAACAACCGACGGGGCGAACCCCAAAGTCAGGAGGACCTGCTGTTCTGTGGTAGAAACCTGTAACCTAAGCCCCGCGGGACTTGAAGTGGCGAACCGCATAAGGCCCCGCCGATAGGTTAGGTATGATATGGAACCGGATGACAGCAAAGCTGCCTACCACCAAAGTATGCTGGCGGTGACGGGGCTTGAACCTCGGATCATAGAGGCAAAGCACGTCGGTGACAGCTTTTCAGTTCACGGTTCATTTGCTATATAAATGACGAATTCGCCTTTGAATGAGAATAATTCACATCAATGGGGTTTTTATCTAAAGTTAACTCTACCATAAATGTATCCAACAGGGTCGAAGGGAAAATCTTACAAGGTCGTGTTCCACCATGGCTTTCCCGATTGCATCATTGACCACAGTGGAGAGCCTCGAGTTTGTCCAAGTGTTGCACAAGGATGTCACACGACAACGACGCCAGAATCGATATGTTCCGACACAGAAATCCAAATCGTTCATTGTACAACGACTGAACCGACTCCGATAACCTATTCCCGTAGTACGACTTGTCCCTGCGTGTATATCATCCATGGTTCGATAGTGTGCGCGTTCCGTGGGCATAATACAATCCGGATTACATGTGGACCAAGGAGACCATGAACCAAGCAGCACTTCTCCACGTTGTTCCGTACAGTGGTCTCCAAGCCAACCGTCCGGGCAGTTACAACTAGTCTGATTACAGTCGGCCATATGACCACCCGAATTACCTCCAACAAAAGCATCCAGAGTAATAGAGGGACCGGGAATGGTTTGAGCTACTGGGGGTTGAAATCCGAGACAAAGTGGTCGTTCACACGGAGTCTCATTACGCATACAATTGGGAAATGAGAGTCGCTTATCCTCCATATACGGAGCACGACAGATACACGAGTAGCGTAACGATTGGAACATGGGAATGCATAGGTTGCCCTGGGAAACCAAACAAGCCTGATCACCACTCAAGGTGGCCGTAGTATGCGGTTCTGCACAACCATCCTTTTTCCTGCGACAATAGGAATCTTCCATGTAACCCGGATCACAAACACAGGAGATTTTTCCTGCCCCGAGATCTAAACACTTGACCGTGTGTTCCGGATCGCATATATCACAACTTTTGACCATCACACATTTTGCCTGTATTTTATCCCCTTCCAAATAGTCCTGCAGTGTATTATTTCCACACTCGCATCGATAGGGAGCCGCGTTCATGTACGGGGCGATCAGGGACGGATTAATTTTGTTCCCCAGCAAGGTATTGATTTTGCACTCACTAAGCTCACATGACGTTTGTTGTTCCTGAGTACATGCGGTGGCCAGGCGAGATTGAAAGCTCTCCGGTAAATCACTCATATCCGTTTTTGACGGATATACATTGCTCTCGTACTGGGCAAACTCTTCCGCACTGGTAAAGTCCGTTCGGAATATCCATGGACGCGAAAAATCATGCTCTAACGGGGTGAGCGGAGTAAGGTAAAGCGAAAAAAGAAAAACCAGCGTTCCTGATAGCATTATAGAGGTTTACAAATCAAAAAGTTGGTTGTGCGTCCACTATTTAAATCACGCGGTATCGATCGACTGCGGATGCTGCACTATACCACAGGTTCGTGAGTNAGTGAGTCAGTAATTTTGACAGTTGGTCTGTACCACTGTTTGCCTGGGGTGTACTTACTTTCCGGTTCTATGGCACACACACAAATTGTCAAAGAACAGCACAAATTCCGAATCCAGCGACTGTATTCTTGCTACTGACGAAACGGGAGTGAACATATTATACCTGATTACTTTAGTGTTAATTTGATAGATTGTCTCGCCTCAACATTTACAATTCTTGAAATGGTATTTTATACGATAAGCTCGATTCGTGCGCGGAATAGAAACCGCAAGTCGAGTCACATCTGTTTGTTCACTGGAAAAATACTTATAGAATATGTCAACTTAGAGCTGTTCAATAGATTACGTTCCTGAACGGATAGGTGAACTGTTCTCGGACATTATCCACATTTCTTTTATTCATCAGTCGCATTCAGGGCTTCTGGTATCTGACTACTTCGAAAATAATTGATGTCCTAGATGTTTAAAGATAAGGGCTTTAACTCCTAATCCAACAGTGAGCGTTGTGACGGACATACAAAATATTGTATACTGCGGACAAATCCCAAATGGAGATGAAAAAAGTACCGGATGCACCCAAAACATATGAACGTCTCCAGGAAAGAAACTTCAACTGAACAGTTATAAAACTAAAATTGTTCAAAATAAAATTTTCTGTATTAAATAAGATATCGATTGCCAATTTGGTGCCTCAGTATTCGAAGATATCATCAGTCAAGTTCGACAAACACGGTATTTCACCACGGGGAAATAGTTATGAAAAGTCCAGGTCTAAATAAGAGTTGATAAACAGTTCTGGCTCTGAATTATGGCTTCGTCACTGTGGTTAATTAACCCACTGGATAGATAAAGAATTCAACGGTGGAAGTCAAACTCATGTTGACACGTTGTTCAATTAAAAGCAAATCGGATTTCGTTTGCGCCATTGGTTGTCAGTGGTATCGAGTCTCCCAAAACGGTCAGTGAAAATAATGACTCGATCGCGATTTGGTGGTGCCCGCATGTAGTACATGTAATTGTGGAATGCGTCATTGCCGAATACCAGGAACTTCATTTAATATAGTTTTGGCATTATTTTACAATTCTCTGTTATGCAACAATGAAGATAACATAAGAAAACAATACTGTATTGCATTGCATTTCTGATTCTATGTTTTTAATTCGATTGAAACAGCCTAACAGTAAATCAGTTGAACTATTTGGGTTGCACATTTCATTATTGTCCAGATTGCGGCTGAATTGGAACATTTATCAAGTCGGTCCTAGGGGATTGGAAGATTTGCTGAATGCACGCAATCAATTGGAGGAGAGGTATATCAAGATTATTCTTCAATTCACTGGAAACAGTTATTATATTCCATTGCGAATCTCACATTTCCGGCAACGCAAGGCAGAACGATCTGGCATTAAACTTAAGGAATCGCAGCAACCCTTTCCCGAGATTAATTTCAAAACACAAGACTATATTGGAACACTGCACGATTTTCGGGGGCCACGACAATTTCGCTGAATCTCAATGTGGTGCATACCGTAGAAAATGCGATGTTTATACGGGGCGTTAGCATGGCAACAGAGTAAAGTAAAATCCATAAGGACGGACTAACATGAAGTTCTTTTTGTTCAAGTTAAGTCAAGTCAGATCAAAGTAAACTTTATGCACCCAGAGGATGAATTTTCAGCGACTTTTTCGGGATGATATAGTGGAATTGAGGGGGATGGCATCCGAGTGTGAATAGGTTAGTAAAAATAACCGACAGCAAACTGCATGCAGGAACACTATAGTGACAGATAAAAAATGAATAAATAAACTAACTAATGAGGTGTTCAACCAAACCTATAATAATTGGTGCCCGATTTACTAAAAAACGAGCAAGAACAGGGAGGATGCTATTTCTGAATGTGACGGTGCAAGTGGGAAGGAGCTCATGATGGGAACCGATACGGGGTTCGACATGGATTTAATAAGTTCGCGATCTGCGTTGTTCAAGATTCTGTCGGCTATTTTTTCACATGCGTCTATGTGTTTGCTCACAATAAAATCAACCAGAACTTCTCTGGCTATGCCACTACATCAGGATAGGAGTTTTGTAGACTTGTAAATTAATACGAAATCGTTTTCTTTTAAGCCGGGAAAAATACAGGGCACAATAGAGCCAATGAGGGAGAATGCATGCTACCACAAATTTGAAAATAACGTTTGACGGAACAGTAAGATTCCTGAGCCTGAAAGCATAAAAAGAAAGTTTACGAATCTTGTTGTAAACGTTCTCTACATGTCACGGCCAAGAGAGATTGTGGGGTAGAACGACTCCGATGGAATACTGTGACTGTTAATTACTAGATCCGTTAAATCACTAAACGTAGTTTGATAACGGGAGCCAGATTTAAGGTTGAAGAGAACGTCGACACACTTGAACAAATTAAGCAAGAGTGATGGGAGTAGAGACCGGCTAAAAACGTCATTCAGACTGCTTTGAAGTTGGTGGAAAGAAGCATCAGTATTGGAGAGGCAGCCAATCATCACATCATCCGCATACTTACAGGCAATACAGCTGGTAGGAGGTTTATGTACAGGATAAAAAGAAGGGAGACAAAGCGGTGGAGGGGGACCTCCATCGATTAATATCAATCGCTTTAGCAAACGTTAACAATCTTGCGATTCATGAATTGCAGACAATCCGAATTTGGTGTTGTGTTATCAGCGGATGTCGAGCAATGGTTGAGGGCTGGGTCTTCTAGTTTCGACGGTCATTTTTATGCCGCGGGTTCTCGATCCAATTTAGAATGTGTTCTACCACTCGATTGGGTAAGCGTCGCTCTGTTTTGCCCACGCAGATCGCTCGGCAACCACATTGGAATTGGTACATCAGAGTTAGTGTAGAGAGGCAGGCGTTTCTGTCGGGGGTTGTCATCCTAGGTGTCCAGTGGACGGTTTGGCGTCAGCTGCATAGCGGGCTGGAGCGATTACTGATCCCAGTCATTTTTTGAGCAGACCACTTACGTCAACACTTTTGAATGTAAGGCACAATCGGATTTGTAATTTTGTAATTGATGCAACCGGTTCTTCAGCAATTTGAAACATTGGGTGTCCTTTATTCATTTCATCAATACAGAAAGAAGACAAATGTCGCGAGATATTAACATTTCGTTTAATTTTCACAGTCATTGACGTAAAACCAACAGGCACATATATAGCACATGAGATTAATCAATTATGGTGAACGAACTTGTATAAGAATACAAACATTACTAAATTTAGAAGCAGAAGGTCAACTCCACGATAAGTGGATTGATTGTATCTGAAAATTTGTGCGCACAAGATCGGGTGATGTAATCGAATAAAAAACAGCTCAATTCTCGGGTTGCTATGCTTATCAAAGAACGTTTCGGCGTAAGCGTTTTTGCTAACAACTAACGAATGTTTTGCAGTTCTTGTTCAATTCTGTGTTTCATACAGATTCGCCTTGTACTATCAAATAAGGTCCGAACAAGACAACGTTGCTACTCCAGGGGCATAAAGCTCTTGAACTAAAAACGTTGGCCGGTTCAGGTTTCCTTTCGATATATATATATATATATATATTTCATTTTCTGCAGTATGCATCATGTTTAGATCCAGCGAAATCGTCCGGGACATAAATCGTGTGGTATTGCATTATGGTCTAATCTTTTGAAATTTAAGGAGTTACTTTCACAAATTTTCAAACCAGTAGATTTCATTGCAGCTGGAAGGGCGAAATTTAATTGTTTCCATAGATCAGAGAACCAGTCTGTGGATGATTTCATTCTGGTACTAACGATCCAAACTCCGAAATACGATTGAGAAAATCTGCTACAAGATCAATCAAAGGTCATTAGAATCTTAATTTTTCTTACGCGAAATAACAACCTGCGGGGTAAATCAAATCAAACCCCTGAAACATTTGTGAGCAACACAGAAATGCGCGGGTGATTAAAACAACAAGTGAGCCTGTTTTGTTATCACTCCAAACAATCCATAACATAAGTGATTTCCACCAGCTGCGTCCGAACTCAGCGGTTACCGGGGCAAAACGTTCGCCTTTGGGCAAACGTACAAAGTTTCTGCACCTTTTCCCATGGAGCTTTAGCCAAAACCCGCAATCCTTTAACTTCGACCAGTTATCCTTTAGCCAAAACCCTTAGTCCTTTAGCCTCAACGCAAAAAATTGAGCCACGACGCAGTAGGCGAGTCAGATCAAAAAGTTTAGGAATATTCTGAAATCAACTGATGCTGAAAAATTTATTTTCTATAAATGGCGTTGAAAAGCTTAGTTAAGAAATAAGAAGGTATGGGGTTTGCATGCTGCAACACATATGCTGTATGCTGTGCGATACTCCTAGGAGTAAAAATGTCAGGTTCAACTCAAATAATATATTACTCATAGAAAATAAATTTTTCAACATCAGTTGATTTCAGAGTATTCCCAAACTTTTTGATCTGACTCGCCTACTGCGTCGTGGCTCAATTTTGTGCGTTGAGGCTAAAGGACTAAGGGTTTTGGCTAAAGCTCCATGGGAAAAGGTGCAGAAAAATCAATGATATGCGTCACTGTAGTTCAATTCATGGACACTGTTCCATACGAGCTCGTTCCGCTTGCGCCTCGGTTTGCATTGGCCTAATTTGAACGCAATGCATTCCGTGTGAGGAGAGACATCGGTTCATCAATGATAGCTGGTAGTGCAGTAATCATGTACCCTCAGTCTGATTTTATAAGTCTTTTCCGACGCAAAAATGAAACCTTGTGTCCCAATTCGGTTCCATTTCCAATATCCGTTTGTAGATCGAATACGACCGGGTTTATGCAGGACCCCCACATGAGTCTACATGGCATGGTGGTTTCATCTACTGTTAACACTACTACTTCGAAGCTCGGTGA